TACCTGCTCCACACTTCTTGTTCCCTCTTTGGGGGGAATTCTTAAGATTGTATGCCTTCTCTTGATCCTGCAAAACCAGGCTTAGTACTGAAAGCCTCCCATTTGCTTTCCTGAGTGTGGTGCTGAATGCTCAAGTTTGTCTGCTTTCTCCCAATCCCAGAGAGTTGGGCTGGCTTTCTGCATGTGCTCACTAGCTGTCTGCAAAGGGTTGCTCTCGCTGCCCTTGGGGGTGCACACAGGAAAATGGTCATGGAGTAGGTATATGTATGAGTGAGGCATATGGAGTGTTGTGACCCAACATGGAGGATCTGTAGGTGAGCTGTCCCCAGTGCCTCATAGGTGGGCTTCTTGAAGGAGTGTGTGAAGTAGTTGTAGGATCCACATCCCATTGATGCCCTCCAAGAGCACTGGCTGCTGTTCTCCCCCCTAAGTCATGCAATACACCTCAGTAATCTAGGTGAGGGGAAAAAGAAATGGGCCCATTGGGCAGTGTCCTGCACAGCTGGGGAAGCTGGGTGCTCTCTCTCACACTCTCACTTTCCCCTGTGGAAGAAATGACAGGCAAAAAGATCTCTCTTATCACTGAGCTGTGCCACCTTGGGGGAGGGATGATGCAGGTAAGATGAAACTGTTTCTCTTACCCTCCCAATGCGTCCAATCTCAGATTGTTTTTTGCTCCAACAGTGTACTGGAACTTTTCTCTGCTACACTCCTGGACTTACACAAAGGCACTCTTGTCCTTGAGTGATTGTCAAAATTGGTGCTGTTGGGGGAAAGGTGCCAGAAACTCCTATTCCACCATTTTGATGATGTCTTAGAATAAGCTTGTCTATGTCTACAAAAAACTCTGTTGTGATTTTCTTAAGAATTCATTAAATCTATAGATCAATTTGGGCAGAAGTGACATCTTTCCTATGCAGTCATCTGATCCATAAATATAGTATGTCTCTCCATCTATTTAGGACTTCTTTGATTTCTTTCAACAGCATTTTGTAATTTTCAGCATATAGAGTCTACACATGTCTGTTGGATTTACACCTAGGTATTTCATTTTCTTTGGAACAATTGTAAATGATATTGTATGTTTAATTTCAGTTTCCACATGTTCATTATTAGTATATAGAAATGTGAGTGATTTTTGTGTAATGATCTTATATCCTGCAGTCTTGTTGAACTCACCTATTAGTTCTAGGAATTTTTTTTGGTAGATTCCTTGGATTTTCTATGTAGACAATCATGTAATCTGCAAATAGGGACAGTTTTTATTTCTTCTCTTCTAATCTCTATGTTTTTTATTTCTTTTTCTTGCTTTATTGCACTGGTATAACTTCCAGATCTATGTTGAATAACAGTGGTGCCAGAGGACATCCTTGATGTGTTCCTGATTTTAGGGTGAAAGCATTCAGATGTTTCACCAGTAAGTATGACGTTAGCTATATTTTTTGTAGATACTTTTTATCAAGTTGAGAAAATTTCCCTCTATTCCTACTTTTCTGAGTTTTTATCATGAACAGTTGTTGGTTTTTGTCAAATGATTTCTGTGTAAAGCAATATGATCATATGATTTTTTTCTCCTGTAGTCTGTTTATGTGATATATTACATTGATTGATTTTTGAATGTAGAAGTGGTCTTGCATACCAGGAATAAATTCCATTTGGTCATGGTGTATAATTCACTTTATATACTGACAGATTCAACTTGTTAATATTTTGTTGAAGATTTTGATTATCTAAGTTCATGAGATTATTGATATATAGTTTTCCCTTTTTCATGCTCTCTGTCTACTTTTCATATCAGGGTAATACTAGCTGTATAAAATGAATTGAGAAGTGTTCCTTTCTCTTCTATTTTCTGAAAGAGATTGCGTAAAATTCTTTAAACGTTTGATAGAATTCTCCAATGAAACTTAGGCCTGGAGATTTCCTTTGGGGGATCTTTTTTGTTATTATTAAAAATTCAATTACTGTGAGATTATAGGGCTATTTAGGTTATCTATTTCAAGTTGGTTGAGTTTGGGTGTTTGTAGGTTTTGAGGAATCAGTCAATTTCTTGTAAGTCATTACATTTATTAATGTAAAGTTATTTTCTAATATTCTCTCATTATTCTTTTAATTGCTACAGGATATCTAGTGATGTATCTATCTTTTTTCATTCCTAATATTGGTTATTTGAGTCTTCTTCCTTTTTTTATCTTTGTCGTTCTTGCTAAAGTGTTGTCAATGTTATTGATTCTTTTCAGAGAACTACACTTTGGTTTCATGGATTTTCACTAAAATTTTCAATTTCATTGATTTATGCTCTTTTCTTTATCATTCTCTTTCTTATGCTTAGTTTATGCTTATTTTGCTCTACTTTTTCTATTTTCTTGAGGTAGAAACATGGATTATTTGTTAAATTCTAAAGTAAGCATTTAATACCATAAATTTCCCTGTCAGCACTGCTTTATCTGCATCCTACATATTTTTTTTTATAATTTTTATTTATTTATTTTTCCCCCAAAGCCCCAGTAGATAGTTGTATCTCATAGCTGCACATCCTTCTAGTTGCTGTATGCGGGACGTGGCCTCAGCATGGCTGGAGAAGCGGTGCGTCGGTGCGCACCTGGGATCCGAACCTGGGCCGCCAGCATCGGAGAACATGCACTTAACTGCTAAGCCATGGGGCCAGCCCTGCATCCCACATATTTTGATATGTTTTTTTTTCACTCTCATTCATTCTATGTATTTTTTAAATTTCCTTTGAGACTTCCAATTTGACCTATGGATTATTTAGAAGTGTGCTGCTTAATTTCCAAGTGTTTGGAGATATTCCTCTTGTCTTTCTGTCACTGATTTCTAGTTTCATTCTATTATGGTAAGAAAACATACTCTGTATGATTTTAGTTCTTTTAAATGTGTTGAGGTTTGTTTTATGGCCCAGGATATGGTCTATCTTGCAGAATGTTCTATCAGTACTTGAAAACAGGTGTATTCTGATCTTGTTGGGTATAGTGTTCTATATATATCAATTAGGTCCTGCTGGTTTATTATGTTGTTCAGTTCCTCCATATCCTTTCTGATTTTTGGTCTCACAGTTCTTCAATAGCTCAGAGTGATGTGTTGAAGTCTCCAACTATAATTATTGATTTGTCTTTTTCTCCTTTCATCTCTATCAGGTTTTTCCCCTAGTATATCACTTTGTATAATTTTATCAGTGGTTGCTTTCAGTATGACTCTGTGTGTGTGTGCACACAAACGTACATGCTCACGTGTCTGTGTATGTAGGTAACTTAACACAGTCTATTGGTATTAACATTTTATCACTTTGAGCCATGTTTAGAAACCTTACTTCTGTTTAGGTCTTTGTACTCTCCCTTTTTAAAAAAACGTAACTGTCTGAAGTATTTCCTCTATATACATTGAGCACTATACCAAAAGGTGTTATAACTGTTGCTTCAAATATCAAATACGATTTTAAAAACTCATGCCAAGGACAGTGTACTGTATTTACTCCTATTTTTATACATTCCAATGCTCTTTCAGTTTTGAAGTTCCAAGCCTTCTTTTGTTATCCTTTTCTTTTCTGTTTAGAGAATTTCCTTCAGCCATTTTTTTTATTGATGTTTTAATAGTTTTTAACATTGTGAAATTTTTGGGTTGTATATTTTTATTTGTCCATCACCATATATGTGACTCCCTTCACCCCTTGTGCCCACCCCCCACCCCCATTGCCCCTGGTAACCACAATACAGTTTTCTCTGTCCATGTGTTGGTTTATATTCCACATATGAGTGAAATCATACAGTGTTTCTCTTTCTCCTTCTGGCTTACTTCACTTAACATAATACCCTCCAGGCCCATCCATGTTGTTGCAAATGGGACAATTTTGTCTTTTTTTATGGCTGAGTAGTATTCCATTGTATATATATACCACATTTTCTTGATCCAATTGTCAGTCGAGGGACACTTAGGTTGCTTCCACTTCTTGGCTATGGTGAATAATGCTGCAATGAACATAGGGGTGCATAAGCCTCTTTGGATTGTTGATTTCAGGTTCGTTGGATAGATTCCCAGTAGTGGGATCCTTCAGCCATTTTTTAAAGAGCAGATTTGCTGGCAACAAATTCTCTTAGTTTTCCTTAATCTGCTAAAAACCTTTTTTACCCTTCAATCTGGAAATATATTTTCACTGAATACAGAATTTGACATTGACTATTTTTTTCTTACAATACTTGAAAATGTGGTGCCAATTCCTTCTAGCCTCCATGGTTTCAGATGAGAAATCTGCCATCATTTGAATTGATGTTCCCCTAGAAGTAACGCATCATTTCTCTCTGTCTGCTTTCAAGATTTTTTCTCTGTCTTTAGTTTTCAGATGTTTAATTATGATGTGTCTTGTTGTGAATTTCTTTGTTTTATCCTATTTGGGATTTGCTCAACATCTCAGATTTGCCATTTCATGCCCTTCAACAATTTGGGAAGTTTTCAGGCATTACTTCCTTGAATACTTGTTCATCCTCGTCCTCTTTCCTCTCCTTCCGAGACTCTAATGATACAAATGCTAGCCCTTTTGCTGTTGTTCCACAGGTCCCTAAGACTGTTCCTTTTCTTCCACTCTGTTCATACGGGATAAATTCTACTGATCTGAATCAATTTTACAGATTCCATTTTCTATCATCTCTACTCTACTATTGGTGTCATTCCGCCAACTTGCTATTTCCGTTATTGTATTTTTTAAATTCTATAATTTCCATTTGGTCCCTTTTTATTTCTTCTATCTTTGCTGAAATGTTCTATTATTTTTTTTGTTTCAAGAGTATTTGTAATTACCTTCGAAATATTTTTATGATGGGTACTATAAAATCTTTGCCAGATAATTCCAGTATCTGATTCTTCTCAGTCTCGTCATCTATTGATTTTCACGTTCAATCGTGAGATTGAAGTTGTGGTTTTCCTGGTTCTTTGTGTAAGGAATGATTTTCTACTGTATCCAGGGTGTTTGGATATTATATTACGAGAGTCTATTTAATCTTGAGGTATCGCACAAAGTCTGGATAGGTGTTCATGTTCAGCTTCCGAGTGCTGCCACCAAAAGCACTCTGGCAAGAGTGGTGTACTGACCTGAATTACCTTGTTGCAGACGGGTGGGGTGAAACCTCAGCTCCCTCTTGGTCCTGCTAATACCAGGGGAAGGGGATGGGGAAGCAAAGTGCCAATTAAGCCCACTTCCCACCACCTTTTTCCACCTCACTGATGCTGGATGAGGGGAGAGACTGAGCTTCCTACTGCCTCCCACTAAAACTAGAGGAGCAGGGAGCAGAATATTAACTACCCCAGCTGATACCACTTCATTCCACTGTTGATGCCGGGTGAGGCTAAGAGCTCAGCGGGAGCCACTGGGCCCCTTTGGTGTGGGAGTGAGAGGGCAGGGAAAGAGGGATAAAAGTGCCCACTAGCCCACTAGTCCTGCTTCACACTGTCTGATTTGGCTTCTTGCTGCAGTGTGGGTGTGTAGCTTCAGCTCTTCACTGGGTGCACTGGATGGGGGGAATACGGAGTGGTGATGAGCCCTGACTCACACCCCCTGCTTTAGCCTAGTTGATGCCAGGTGGGGGTAGGGGCTCAACTCCCCATTGGACCCTGCTGACACTGGGGTAAAGGGTTGACGCATACTGGTGATTAGCTCCACCTTACATCAACTCATAGGGTCTTGCTGCTGCTGTGTGGAGGTGAAGGCTTAGCTCATCAGTGGGCCCTGCTGACATTACCCTGATGGGAGAATCATCTCCACGTGCTTCCATCAGGCAGGAGATGGAAGACTAGCTGCCTGCTCAGCCCCCACCAACACCATCGGGGGGCGGTGTGGGAGAGCTACCACCTGGTACTTGCTTCTGCCTACTTTCTTGGATCAGGGGTCAGGTGAAGGATCAGTTCTTGCCAGGCCCTGCTGAAACTGGTGTGTGTGTGTGTGTGTGTGTGTGTGTGTGTGTGTGTGTGAGAGAGAGAGAGACTAATGAAGAGTGAGTATTGCCTAAAAGGTTTTCCGTTGTTAGGCCACCATCTTTCCTGTCCTTTGGCTATTCTGTCTGTGCCTATTAGAGATTCAGGGCATATATGCCCTGACCAGGATTTATGGGAGGCCATAAGGAAGCTCAGAGAACTTCCTGTCATTTCCTTCCTTCAGTCCCAAGCTTCCTAGGCAGCCTGCCTTCTTCTTTCCCCCTTTCAGAGCCTTCCTGTGCTTCTTTGTTGTGTTACGTCCAGGGTGGAGGACCTGGGAGGGATGGGGCCATTCCATCTTCGCAGAACCACGAGTCCCTATTCTTCTTTTTCAAAAACACCCAATTGCAATCACATTCTACATACAATTTTATATTATTTCTACCTAGCAAATCATAAGTTTTTAATTTCTGTACTAAACTCTTTGTTAAGTACAATGTTAAATGCTCTTTAACTCCCCACCGAGTGGCCAGAGCATGATTTACATCATCATTTTCCTACTGTTGAAAATTGAGATTCCAACACGATTGCTACAATAAATAATGTGCTAATGAAAATGTTTGTGCCCCAAAGTCTTTCTGTTTTTTTTTTTTTAAATTTTTTGTTTATTGCAGTAATATTGGTTTATAACATTGTATAAATTTCAGGTGTACATCATTGTACTTCTATTTCTGCATAGATTACATCATGTTCACCACCAAAATACTAATTACA